ACAGAGAAGAAGGGACATTTTAATAAATTTTAATTTATACGAATTACGCCAGCGGGTATATATATATATATATATATATATATATATATATATATATATATATATATATATACTGCTTTTTTGGCAAAAGTAAACAATAAAGTAACCTTTGGCAAGCAGCCTTCACGAGAAATAGATGACTCTTTTGGCAAGCATAAAATGTTTGGAGCATTTCTTCTACTGAATACGTGATGGGTGCTGTCACTTCTGATTATTGTGAAAGAGGCCGTGTATCTCTTTTGAGCAATGAGTGACGCTAACTGCCTCTTTAATCAAAGAAGTTGAAAGGAGGTCATTTTCATCAATGAGGGTTTTTTTTTTCGTTTTGTTTTTTTGGAGTTGTTGCCAACATTAGGTACAATAAGAGTTATTTTGGGTGGAAAATTTGCAAGAAGAACGGAAGTTTCTGATATGAATACACAAGGATAGGATATTCATAATTGAAGATTGTCGACACAAAGTCTTCTTAATCCTAAATCGCCGCCCAATTTGGATACTATGCGCAGTACTAAGCTAAGCTTAGTAAATATCCAGCGTAGTGACAATCTGCAAAAGTAGCTCCCGATTGCGCCAGTCAGGATGTAAAATCAATATGAAAATTATGTGGTGTTGTAGGAAAATGTCGAAGTTTTTAACGTCAACGTCACACACTCAACTCGGGCGATACTGAGGATTTTCTTTTTTCTTTTTTTTTTTTTTTGTCTGTCCTGATTCAATTGCTACTCTTTTATTACACATATAATAATCCTATACTTTTAGTAACGTTTGCATTAATTCCTGACCACGGACAATCCTTTTGTTCACAATTTATAATGCATTTCTATAGTCAACGCATTAGCAATGAAATCCATGAAGCTATTCGTAATATGCATATATACAGTTTACATAATAACTTTATTTTGTCAGTAACGCTTGTGTAAATTCTAAGGCAAAGAAAATCCTTTTCTTTCTGGTTTGCAATTCTTTTCTATAGTTAACGTACTTGCAAGGCTTTCTATATGAAAATCATACGCAATATGTGTATGTGTTTCATATTACTGGGAATGATTTGTCAGCAAACTAACTCTATCTTTATCAGAGACAATCTATTTCCTTTCTTCCGAATGTGAATACGCACATTCATACATTGACGGACTTTGCCGCCATTTCGTAATACAGCGCGATTTTTCCTAAAAATGCAAGTTGAAAAACACTGATTATTGGCCTCCATGGAAGCGACCCAAATTAAACCACATTAAGACATGCGTCATCACTTATCGTGGATAGCTTATCAAGACATTTTGAAATGTTCAAAAAAGTTTTAATCTTCATGTAGTGTTATGAGCATTTCGAAGATTATTATAGCAACTCTGCTTCTAAAGTCGAGAGGAGAATATAAAGTATAACTCAAAAATGGCCAGTAAACAGGAGTTAGAACAATAAACTTCAAAATTTGTTCCGAAAATTGAACTGAACCTGTAGGTTGCTGATGTTATAACATTTCGGCTTATCAATTCTACGACTTTGTTCAAATCTACTCTTTGCATGGAAGGAGAAATTCTCTTTTCCCAGAAGTGCAAATCAGAAACAATAACAAACAGACAATTCAATATATTAACATTAATGTTTGTTAATATAAATTGCTCTATGTTCAGCAACATCTCCAATACATATAATTCTGTAACTCATACTCAGGATGTTCTCAATCCTTTCTAACTTAGAGAATTTTATATTCCTGGCGGGCGTTGAAAATCATCTCTATCTATAAAAGGCAGGGTGTGTGTGTGTGTGTGTGTGTGTGTGTGTGTGTGTGTGTGTGTGTGTGTGTGTGTGTGTGACGAATGCACGGCCGCAATTTTCGACGAATTTGCACCAAAATTTACATGCACATGCTCCGAGTTAGCGGAAAGTGCCAAGACCGACTTTGCATTTCCCAACTCCCATCGATAGTGGAAATAATCGATTTTTTTCATGCTTCTACGGCAGTTTTCATGTAGTTTGCGGCCATTTTCTCCTCACCAGAGTGAGAGCCTATAGCTAGCTACCACGAATAGTCAGGAAGATTCTATTGGCCAGCGTGAGAGCCAACAGCTGACTTACACGAATGTTAACTAGCATGCTAGCATGCAAAAAAATCGATAGCTGCATTCGTCACAAGAGGGAAAAATTTAAATCTGCATGGCACTTTACTCCAATTGGCTCATTCGCTTGCTTAAACTCAACGTTGATTTTGATTCCGTAGAACTGGGTTGGGTGTGAAAAAGTATTTGTTGTTAACATTCTTTTTTCAGTTACGAGTCCTTTTTTAAAGCTGATCGTTTTGTGTTCATTTTGTTTAGTTCTTTTTTCGTAACAGATTTAATGTTTACTATAGAGCTTAGAAAAAATTCGCAGTGTGAGATAGACAAGAAGAAAGGCATGTAGCAACATCAGCACGGCAAAGGGCACTCCTTTAAAGGCAAGGAAGGGCAAAAATATTTTAAGTCAAGTGATAGCGATTGCTGTATGAGTCGTACGATTTTTGACTCAAGCACGGGCAAAGCTAGGCCATGCTGCTAGTATTCATCTATAACTGAAGTTGACAAATTGATCTATTTTCAATTCTTTCAAATTTTTCCATTCTTCAATGGTGTTCCTTAGTAAAAAATAAATGCAAATCAAAATCCAGAATATAATATGCGTAAACGAAGCAGTATGACCATATCTCGACACATTGTTAATAGCTGAATTTTCATCTGAAATCGTTCCTGTATAATGTCGATTTGCATGATTAACCTATTAATATCCACTGTACAATCCGTTCTTAATAATAAAAATTAAAATCCCTCATTAATCATAGGTTTATAAAAATCTAGTATTAATTATAGGTTTTTACCGATAAGCCATTAATGTCCAACTTTTTAAAAAAAAGGCCGAAGACATATTCACCTCCTCATTGAATTGAGTGCATTTATAAAGTCGAGAATTCTGTTGAAAATAAATATTTATTTTCGAAAATAATTAATTTTCATATAATTCGACTCCGGACTCGCTGATATTGTGACACTGAGGCTGTGAGGTGGTTAAACATTAATTCTAAGTAGAAAAAGGATGAAGCCCAAAATGAAATATAAACTGGAAAATAAAAAAAAATAGAGAGAGAGAATGGAAGACATGTTCCATGGTAATGCGGAAGTGAAAAAGAGCCATCTAGATTGTGTCACTCCCATGAATTTGAACGATGCACCAAAAGTTTACTTTTTTTATCTATCGAAAATCTGGAATGCGGGTAAGCAAATTGGGAAATGGCTTTATCCTTTTCTTGGGAAATTAGAAAAACACATGTCATAGGAGGGAAGAGAGGCAAAAGGGAATTATATTTTCGTTGGCGGAAACAAACTGAGAAATGAAAACAATTAATGAAACTGTTCCGAGGGTTAGGATTAGGAAAATCGATCCTGTCGTAACAGGCAGGTGGTATGGTTCATGTTTTCGTTAAGTTGGCGATCGGCCCAAGGATGGAAAACATCATGTCTCTTTGCTGAGAATTTATGTAAACAAAAATATTTTCCTTGACGAAAACAAATTGGGAAATAACTAAGAAGCAATGGTCTGGTTTTTGTTCTCGCTGAACAGAGGTAATGGTAAAGAAGTGGAATGGAGTCAGAGAATAAACTACGCCTTTTCGCCTACGCACTTTAAAAATTAGATTTGTCACAAAGACAACGAGGCCAGCTCTGAGAAGTAGGAAAAGTTAGAGCACCGAGAAGGAAGGCATAAGAGGCAGAATTTAGCCTCGTCTGTACGGAGTGGTGGTGCGAGATTTGAAGTAAAGCAGGTTGGTGTTAAGCGAAGGGCGATCCCTGCGACTACGCCCAAAGAAGGTGGATAATTCTCCAGGTTTGTAAAGTTGATTAGGAAAGCAGAAATAGGAAACAAAGAAAACCTTTATTGTGCTTAATGTGAAGAATTGGAGAATCACCGAATACCTAGAACACTTTCGCCCCACGTGAGTTTTGTGACGAATTGTATATAAGAAGATGACTTTGGGGAGTTCGGAGACTTGGGCTGAGAACCCGTATCGGGTGCCTCTGAAATCCACTTCAACTGCTACCAGGTTTCCTTATTCCAAGACTTTGAATCCAGCTTCTTTAGAAGTTTAGTCAAGGCCCAGTGCCACTATAGAGATTGATGCGGGAAGGGTTAATTTTTGTTGTACCAAGAGTTATATAAACCAATTGAAGATCAACCCCATGAATCGCTCGTTTTATTTTTCGTCGTGAAGATAATTTTATTCCCTATTATAACACACGCCACGGCTTGAACCATCGCTGCGTATACGACAACCATAATTTTTGCACTGTTTTGAGATCAAGAACATAGCGTGGGAAGAGTCGGTGCGGGTCGAAGCGGACAGCGACCAACAACCAGCTTGGACCAGCGTCAGCATTGACTAGCGCAGAGTTAGCACTCTGGTTGAAACGTCGTTCTAAGAGCCTGAGGACCGGACCACTAAACGTGGTTACACTCCCGGATGTAGGCGGCGGTCAAAAGCGTTACGTTAATTGATGACCGTGACCAAGTATGTGACATTGTTTGGCAGGAGGTTTTGCAATATAACGATATATATATATATACCGCAACATGAACATCGGATGTTTTAAGGAAATCATTTCTATTTTTGCTTATTTTAATAAAATAATTCTTATTATTGCTATTAAATTAAAATTTGAGTTAATTGATTGATTTGCTTTTTGATAGTTTATCAACTGTTTGTAGGTCATTTAAAGCCAGAAAATATTTTTAGATTGTAAGAAGTTTTTGGAGATAATAATAATTTACTGTTACAAGTTATACTAATTAACCCATAACTTGGGAGACAAAATGTGAATTCATAACGTTCATAGCCTTGCGCGTAAGTGAATGTAACGAACCTGACTGAAATTGGAATTCTAATTTCCAATTCCGATCGTTATCCATTACACTACCCACACGTCCACTCTTACAGCACCAAGTATTCATTCGCAAGCTGTCACCTATCTAGGTACTGACCAGGCTTGACGTTGCTTAACTTTGGTGTTCGTACTAGAACCGGTGTTTCAATTCGATATAGCCTTAAGCCAAAACTTGAGTTGAATATATTAAATACTTAGAATGTGTTGTGTATAACGAGAAATAATGAAACTTCTGTCTGCACATGAATTTATTGACAAATATGTCAGACAGGAACACACAGAATTTTGGACACGTATCAATAAATAATCTTTAATGGCACTTCATTATTTGATATGATATCTGTCAGATGTTTGAATGTTATCTTCTTGTAGAATTTAGCACCAATTTTCTCTTCCTGTTGAAAAATCGCTTTAATATTATATATTCTTAGATCGTCTGGGTGTAACGGTAAAATTACGTCAAGGGGATTAAAGGTTTTGAGGAGCATGGAATTACCTCTTAATTGCTGTCGTTTTCAGGCCCACCCTGACCAGAGGTGATAGCACCTGTTTGGGTCACAGTTATGGGAAGACAGTGAACCATTTTTATAGTAGAATTACCAAACAATGCATTTTATGGTCTATGAAATATATCTAAAAAGCATACCTTTACTCTGAAAGTATAAAATCCTGTAGAAAATATTTGTTGTTGAAAGCATAAAATTACGTACAAAATATTTAGACTTCGGAATTAAATAACCTATAGAGGCTGATATGATGCCAAACAAAATCAACCAACATAAAAGAAGCCTTTCATTATATTAGTCCATATAATATCCTAAAATTTCTTAAAATCAAACTTTATTCCAAAATATAACATCAACGAAACTACAACACAAAATGCACATATAGTAATTATGTCCACACAAACGTGTATATGCACACAAGCTGAGTATCATCTACCATGTATTCAACGGTGAAAGCAGAATAACATATATCATTTTTATTACTTCAGAGTTCCAAAGTGATATCTCCCGGAAAGGGATATATTTGTTCGAAGTAGCAAAGTGGTTGTTGGCTACTGTAACCGGGTAGGACAATCTAGCAGGTAACCGTAATGGACTGGTCCTCGTCGTAGTGGTAGGTAATAGGCGTAGGCAATAGGCGAAGACAATAGGCTTCATCCTGTATCTCCACATCAGTCTGTATTTATGGCTGACACCAGCCAAGCATATTACTGAGAGGGTTAACCCAGGTGTATGCATATTCATTACATCACAAAGTAAATTCAATTTCGGCATTACATGACCCATAAGGAGTTGATATGCCGTTAAACATACAGATATGTTTTGGAGATTCCTCTAATTAAGATTAAGCTCCTGCCAGTGATTTTTGTAAGATTTAGATCAGGCGACTGTAGAAGTCACTTTAAAACTCTTCTTCACAATCTTAACAACGTAAGATATGCAGATGACACAGTGTTAATAAGAGACACAGAACATAAGTCTAGTAAAATGTTGTGGTACGATCCACCTAATTTACATAGTGGAGTACCGACCATATAAATATGGTTGGTACCGGGAAGACGGGGGAGGAAGAAGAGATCCAATCCAGAGACTCTGCCCGACTGGCGACTAAGTTAACCCATTCTACAGGAACGGTCTTCCCAAGAATATACCAAACTATCTGTAAATATTGAGTACACTTTCTTGTTTCAATACATTTTGTTTAAGTACATTTTGTGTTGTATTATTATTATTCCAGGCTTTATTCAAGTTTCAACATAAAGAAAAGTCAGAAGTAAATATGAATTATAAGACAGAATATGTGGTTGTCAGTAAAAGAAACATTTCAACATACAAATTACAAATTGGAGATGTCAAAAACAAGCAGGTGCAACAATTTAAATATCTGACAACTGTTTTAACAGAGGACGGACAGTGTGAAACGCAAATCAGAAGAAACATTTGCATAGCGAATGATGCCTTCCAAGTATTAAGAAACGGCAAAATTTCTTTAGAAATAAAAAAAAAACGAGTACTGGACTGTTATGTAATATCGGTTCACCTATATGGCAGCGAATACTAGAAAATCTCATCATAGTTAAAGAAAAGGCTTGAAGCAACAGAAATGTATTTCTTCATAAAGATGCTGAGAATACCATGGTCTGAACACATGAGCAACAACGAAGTTTTAGAGAAAATGGAAACAAAACGGACACTTAATATCAGAGACAGCTGAAATTTCTAGAGAACATAATGGGAAAAGAGAGTTTGGAAAATTTGACACTCACAAGACATATTTATATTATATAACGTTAATTCGGTAATATATAGTCTACCTGTACAACTAGAGGGCTTACGCCCATATCACGTTGAAACACCGGTCCTGATATGATCGCTGAAGTTAAGCAACGGAGAGCCTAGTCTTACCTAGATCTGTGGCCGCTTGGAAGTACTAGGTGCTGGATGTGTGGTGAGTATGGCTTACGGCCAGTTCTATTCACTGACACGCAAATACTCTTTAAAGTTATGAATCCTCCTCTTCTCCCTCCAGCTATGGGTTAATTTGTAACACCTGTATCACTAAATCATTATTATCTCCAAACATTTTCACAATCTAAAAATATTTTCTGACTTTAAATAATCTACAAAGGATTGATAAACCGTAAAAAACAAAGCAATTAATCAATGCCCCACTGAAGGAAGACCAACCCTAAAACATTATATCTCCCCCACTTAACTATTTAGATGGTATTTGGGCGATTGGGATGAAGTGTTCTTTCTCCAGAACTTTTTCCACCAAAGACTTCGATTTTAATCTCGTCAAGGCACAATATTTTGTCCTAGAATGAAACAACCTTATCGAAATGATAATGAGTGGAATGTAGGCGTGTTTTACACACCAGGAGTCTACCAGAGAGATCTTTAGGATCCAGGAGGAGATTTTAGACCGAGAAGGCAGTCCTACCCGGGGTGGTTGGGTCTATCCTTGCTCTGTTCGAGCCGCTCGCACATACTCCTCTAGTTCTGTTCAAATTCTGGATGACTTATGCAGTCACTTCCGACAAAATGGATCTAGCTGCTAATTCATCTAATTTATGAGGACGTCCGTTTTAAGAACATTGTTAGTCAAGTCACGTTTCTTTGAATTTTGAATGACGAATCTACATGCTGATTGGCGATCTTAACATCACTGAATATTTCACGACTATGATGGACAATTATCGCCTAGCAAAATTTTTTGAGAGAGCCACAAAGAGATAACATTAAAAGCATGTTAAATTGTAAATTAAAATCATACAATATTTTTGTGTATTTGTGAGTGTAAGTGTTTTAAGGCTGCATGTGATAAAAGGAAGAAGTCACTTCGTATTATGACAAGCAATGTTTTCATTTTTATTTTTTTAAGCATATCACGTTAATCAAGGCGAGGGGTTACAGAAAATGAGAGACAGAGAAATGAGGCGTGTTTGAGGAAAAGGTAAAAAGCAGGACGAGGATCAAGACCACGGCATCAGATGTCGATTGACATTACCTTTGAATTTGAAGATTATAGTTATCAGGGAAGCAAGTAAGAGGAAGGGACTTCCACTGTCGGGAAATGCGAGATAAGAAGCTGTTGGAGTAGAAGAGACGGCTATATTTAACCGTTTCCACAATGAAAGAATGGGACCGAGGTGCCAACCTAGTAGCACGCTTAAATTCATGCAGTTTAGGTACCAGTGACAGTAGCTCGTCAGAGCAGTTGCCATGAAGATATTTGTAGAAAAGACAAGAGGGAAGCCACACTACGTCTGTGAGAAAGTGACTGTAGACGAGATGCCAGATCAGGACCTATCACATTGCATATCTGTCTCTGGATTTTGTCTAGGACCTCGAGATGAACAGCGGGGGCACCAGACCATATATGGTAACAATATTCAGTGCAAGGACGAATGGTCGATTTATAGATTTGAAGGGTGGACTCAGGAGAGAAAAACCTTCTGACGCGACACGGAGAACCAACTGTCCTTGCGGTAGATTAAGCTATTGATTCAATGTAGTTGTCACACCTCAGGTCAGTAGAAAACGTGAGACCAAGCAGGTGCAGAGAGGCGCTATTATGGAGTTGGACATCAGTCATTCTGATGAGAGACAGGGAGGGTTCTCTATGGTGGGTAAATGTGAGCAGTTTTTTTTTTTTTTTTTTTGTTTTTTTGAGGCATTAAAGTTTACAAGCCATTTCCTGCCCCAGTCAACCACAAATTGGAGGTTTTTTTCGAGACCAATGACCAGATTAGTTTTGTCATCAATACCGGATTTACTATTGAGACAAGAGTAAATAATAGTGTCGTCTGCGTAGATGCCTATTTGGGGACTGATGATGTGAGGAAGATAGTTGATGAAGATCAGAAACAGTGTAAGACCCAAGATAGAGCTTTACTTTTTTAACGGGATAATTTTCTCTTCCGCTCTCACAGAAACTCTCGCGACTTTTCCCACTTTATTTCTTATTGCCACTCTCTATTATCCCTACTTTTTTTCCTAATTTTCTTTCTATTTCATTCTGCTCTCTCTCTCTCTCTCTCTCTCTCTCTCTCTCTCTTCGTGATAGAAAGAAACTGAATGGAAAACGTATTTTCTAATTCTTGTTTAAGCTAAACGCCAAACTAGACTTTTTCTCTGTGCCGCGTTCTCTTCTGGACATAGGCGATAATGGCTCTCCACTACTTCCTATCCCTTATGGCTCTTAAGACTTTTTTCTCATTTTGCTAAGGCTCCCGATTCCCGTTCCACACAAGCTCGCTGCCTTCCTCTACCTCTCTTGCCATCAATATGAACCGTGAACGTTAAATTCTCCAAGCCCTCTTTCCTCCGTATGTACCCTGATTCTAAGTAGAAGTATTCTTTCTGTTACGATTTCATTAAAACTTCCCTGTTGCTTATTCGCCCCGTCCGTGGAATTTTCAGTATCTTTCTGTGCAGCAGAATGAAAAGACATTATTTTACTAAAAAATAAAACAAAATAAAAACAAATAATACAACATATTTTTATGAATTTTCATGTGTCAGTCAATTAATTTCATTCATTTTTACTTGACATTACGTATCGATATTTATCGCTGGGTATAACTGGGTATAACATTATCCCCAGTTATTGTCAGACCATGGTAAGTAGAATCAGATGTTGAGAAAAAAT